CTCTCAGCCTCAGAGGATGGCCATGGCAAACCCCCTCTGAAGAAATTTACCAAGAAAACCCCATGCCTTAGGGTCGCCATAAGTCAAAAATCACTTGGAGGCACATAACAACAACAGGACTGGTACAGATAGTACCCCATCTTTGGGCTTTTAATTCCATATGTATATTTTTGTATTACTTGCTTGTTACCTGTATTCTGTACTGTTACCATATCTTATTTGTTTGTATTTTACCTTATTTATATACAATTGTGATGGCTTGTAGCTTTTGGCAATAAACATAAACAAAACAGAACTGCTGAGAGCATTCAGGACTTACAGGTTTGGTTTTAGCTTTTTTCCTGACTTTGGGTTCCAGATCTTACTGTTTGATAAGTCCCATCATCCTTTCCCAGAAATGAAGGAAGTTGTAGGTTAAATATATCTCAAAAACTCAGCTTGAACCCAAATGTTAGTCCTAACTAAAGTAGATGTCCTGAATCAATGTAATTTATGGACATGTTGATTTAAAACTATGTCTTATCCTTTTAACAAGTGTTTTGCTTTAGCATTATAATATTTTTATTTTATTTTAATGCATCACGTTTGCATGTTTTAAATTGTACTGATCCTTTAAATTGTAAGTCACTTCTGTCTTAGGGGAGAAAGTGGGATATAAATGTTATAATGATAATGATAATAATAGGTTTTTGTGGGTTTTTTAGGCTGTGAGGCCATGTTCTAGAAGAATATATTCCTATTCTTCTAGAATATGTTCTTCTAGAACACAGCCTCACAGCCTGAAAAACCAACAAATATCTATGGATGCCGACCATGAAAGCCTTCGACTTAATAATAATAATAATAATAATAATAATAATAAAGATTAACCAAGTGTAACTGTTATTGTATTTTTTTCTTTTTAAATTTTTTTATTTTAAAAACATAAAAAATACAATTAAAATATATTCTTTTGTCATTTTTACAGTACGTTTAACCATAATTCAAACTTCTCAATAGTTCTTTGAAAATAAGTGCATT